ATCACGCGATTCTAAAAGAAATATGAAGAAGTCTCTGGTGCTTCATGATGAATGTATATGAGTAACATTTTCTCATGTGATTACCATGAAAAAGGTACCACAAAAAAATGGATCTGATTCAAAACTCAAATTTTGTAAAGCTCTTTATCCTTAAATAACTTGAGAATATCTAGAACTATATATTTATATCCCTGCTATGAATCATAAATAATTGAAAACAATATATTTTAGATAGATTTTTTTTACCAATATTTTACATAAATATGTATTATTTTATTAACTTTATATTTAGTTTTATTTCATATGCTGACATATGTTAAACTCAATGAAACAGACTATAATAATATATAAAATGTTTGTAAAAAAAATCTATGTTAATATGTAATTACTCTTAAGAGAACTTAGCTATCATAATCGACTTATTACAATATGTGACTTACACTTTGGAAAGTGAGTGCTGACCTATCTATAAATTAATTTTGCATAATCTTCTTGGTGAGACAACTTATTACACCCCTGTAGGCATGATTGACATTTTTCTTCTGCCATTTACGTAGATAAATCTCAACAAAATTCTGGCTATTCTTTTCCATGTTCGATTTGGTGGGAGAGTTTCTTGTACCAATCTGTCCGTGGTTTTGCTGCCAACATCACAACAGACTTCTCGAAAGCATTGACTAGGATGTTGCGAGGATTGTGTGGATGTTGAAGACGAAGAAGAAAGTATACATCTCCAATGAGGGAAAAAAACATGTCATAAGGATTTCGGGAGCATTGAGCTGGATGTTCTTTTAACATTTTGTAAATGATTAGATGTATTCAATTTTACATTTTGAGTTTAGGAACCATTTTAAGTGTAACTATGTTAGGAAACATATTTAGGAACTTTGTTAGGTAAAAATATTACATTGAGGAACTATTTTGATGTATATTCATAATAGAAACAATATTGATTATTCTAGGAATAAATTTTATGCCGGGATATTGATAGTAGCACATACAGATTAAATATTAAAAAAACAACATTTTTTATACCGGTTCAACACCAATAGGTATAAAAATGAATGTGATTTTGTATACCTGTTCTCCGAATATAAGGTGTTAAAAAAGTCAAACTTTTATACCTGTGCAGAGTAAACAGGTATGAAAAGGTGAAAACTTTTTATACCCACGTATCTATACCTGCTCGAAAATCGGTTTAAAAAGCCTTTTTTAACAGGTATGAAAAGCCTTTTTTGACATAGTGCTTCCTTCATTATGCTTTATTTTCCTCTATCCTCTTAGCCCATAGTTTTGTGGTTATATGATTTTAATATCCATCCATTAGCTTTCTCTCAAGGTGTGGTTCTCCTATTTTCATCCTTTTCCTCCTTTATGATTAGAAATGTAACATAGGAGAAATATATGATTATAAGTTTCAACACTCTAACTCCTAAAATATTTTTTTAGGAGAGATATGTTGTTTTTGAACCTTTACTATAAAATATTTATAGAATTATCATTGTTCTATCATATGAAGATCTTTGATAGTATTGTCTTATGAAATACTTTACGAGAATTATTGAAGTTATCTTTACTTTGAAGTTGAAAAGCAAATTATAATGTAATAAAGTTTTAAATATATGCTTCATATTTCACAAGTTGTTTGGAAAAAAAATTGTAAAGTATGAAAGTATAAAACATATCACATGATATTTTTTCCCAACATAAATTTATTTTATATTTCACAACCTTTACAATTTCTCCCAAATCTGCATATTCATTGAATTAAAATTTATATATTTTTATTGGTAAATGTTAATAGTTAATATATTCAATTTTTTTTATGAAGAATTAAAATATTGTTTCCTTATACTTTTACTACTAAACCAAAATAAATTCACATCTTTCATTTTTTTTCAACTTTGAACACAATTGTAATGTGTTCTCTTAACTTGTGTTAATTTCCACTGAAATTTTCATACATAGTATTTCACCAAAGTTCTATATTGAGTGATGACAAAAAGGATGTAAGAAATTATTGTAAAATGAGAAATTGATGTGAATGTCTTCATTAAAACTTAATAGTTTCCTAAACATATTAAGTAGTTGTGTATATTGAAAGAACTTACACTTTTTTTTCTTGTTAAAATTGTATGTTGAGTAATAAAATATATTGTTGAGTGTGTGTAGATATTGAAGTGTTGAGTTATTTTAAATTTGATTACGTGTGTGTGCTTTTTTTTTATGTGGATGTGCTCTATTAGAAGATTATTCTTTTATTGTTTGAGACTCAATAGTGACATTAAAGCTAATGTTCAAATCAATGGAGTAAGAAGAACAATTTTACATGCACAACATAGTCAACATTGCTTGTTGCACCTTTAAAGAGAGAGTAGTAAGAGCATACATAACTTTTGTTGGCTTAACTATCCAAGTTTTGTAAACCAGCCACTATTTGATGGGTGTGGTGATCAAGCAAGGAATGAAAAAGTATTGTGACCGATAAATAACAAATTTCAACCAAGAGATATAAGTACTATTTAGTGCCATTATTGTGGAGAGATATGACATTCATGTGCTAAATGTCCAATATTCAATGAGGATTTGCAATGGAGGAAGGAAAATGAGATTTAAAAATGCTCCTAGAAGATGTAATCAATCATGGAAATGATTTTTTAATGTAAGACTTTTGATGAAAGAAAAATATGTTATCATTAGTGTGTATTCATCTGAATAATATGATCAAGGATAAAACTTAAAAAATTATAATAAAATCAAGAAATTGATTGAAGTGTTTTGTCCCTAATTCAATAGTTTATTAGGTGTATTAGAAATTGGATATATATATATATATATATATATATATATATATATTTATTTATTAGAAGAGTTTGTAACTTTCTCTTTATAAAAGTTAAATGTTAAATAATAATATTTTGTTTATATATACATAAAATTTAAATATGTTTTTAATCTCTATATTTTAATTCAAAATTGAAATCATTCATATTTAAAACTTTGATACATTCTGATTTCAAAACTTTAAAAGTGAATAAATATAGTCATTTTAATCCAATTAAATTATTTTTCTTAATGTGTTAAATATGTTTTTTTAACTAATATCAAAGTGAGAGCATGTCAAATGGTATAAATAACTTAATTGTTAACATAAAACACGTTTGACACATAAAAAAAATAATGTAACTGGATTAAATAGACTACGTTCATTGAGATTCAAAATATATCAAAGTTTTAAATAAAAAATTTCAATTTTACATTAAAATTCAAAAACTAAAAACATATTTGATTTTTAATGTGTGAAATCATATTAAACTTAATTATGCATTTTAGAAATCCAACCCATACCACATATTAATTTATATTATTTATGGTTAATTGTTCATTTCCTATTCTTATCCCAACCTTATTTAATTTGTCTTAAGCTATCTTTTCCATCAACTCTAAAAAGTAATTTCTTAAATATTACACATAATTCAATAATTGATATCGGATAATTGATATCAGTTTACCTTAGTGTAATTTACGGAGCCATTTTGATTGGAAATAAGTTTACTCAAACTTAAAATTCAATATTCTAAATTACGCTTGAAGATAATAATAAAATTTAATTAAACTCTAAATATATTTAAACCTAGATTACTAAAAAACTTTATTGAAATAGCCTAATTTTTTATATTAAATTATTTTTCTTTTAATTCTCTTGAAGTGACTTGATGGAACATTTGCTAGCAAATTAGCTTATTGAAATGTATTATACATCATGAAAGTTCCTTTTAATAATATTTTATTTTATCTTCACTTCACCGTCTTTGAAAAGTTTGTTACGATACCGATTATTGGTAGTTAACTTCCTATCAATTTTATATAACGGGAAAGTAAATGAAGTACTTAATAGTAACAGTTCACAAATAAAATAACTAAATTTCACAAAAAAAAAAAACAATATTGATTATATATAGTAAAGAGATACGAAATTTAATTAAATTTGTACTACAAAAAAAAAATATAAAGAATTTTTTTTAAATGATTGTTTTATTTATTTATATGAAGCATGGAAAAAATTCGTCAAACGAAGCCACCATCCAGAATAAATGCTTACCACCAGGGGAGAGAAACGGACTGAGGAAAGTGAAGTGGCACGAGTGATGTGTGAAAAAATGAATAAATTTTTATGTTTTTTTAGAGAAATATTTTGAAAGAAAAATAAAAATGTAGTATTATTTACTCTTAGGTGTTTTAAATTATAATTCGTATTTGATGGATATTTTTTAGTTGAATATTTGGGAGTCTTATTATGACATTGGACTAACTGAAAAGGAAAGGGGTTTGTAATTAATTAGTGGGTTGTTGGTTTGAAGGTTTGAGAGAAAAAAAGATGTAATGAAAAAGTGTAGTAAGAATGAGGCTTTAATGGAAAGAAAGGGTGAAAGATGAATGAATAAAATATCTTTGTTGAAGTATAGAAAGTAGTAGGAAAATAATAGGGGAAATGGTTGTTTGTGATAAAGCAAAGGAATGTCATAATAATTCCCATAATCAATTTTCCAACGAACAACAAACCCACACCAACAAACCTAGCCCACATTTGTTAATGCCCCTACATCAACCCACACCTAACTTAATCTCCCATCATTAATGCCTTCACCCTTCTATCCTAACCCATCCCTCTTTTCTTTTAATCATTTTACCCTTTTTAATATTAAAAATATCTATTTTTCACTATTATAACTATGCATTATGCTATTAATTAAAGTGTGTAATATTTCAAAAAGAAAAAACATCTTGGAAGGAATCTATTTAATGCTTAAAATCTATAGGGAGAGTAGTTTGTTGAGACATTGTTTGCAAGCATAATTATATCATAGTAGTTGTGTAAAATAACATTAAAAATTAAATAAATTGCTCTTAATTATGAAATATGTTTTTTTTTGTTTAATAATAAGTGAGGAAGAGCGTGTGCATTAAATAAAACGCTACCTGAAGGACACGTTGCGAGTGCAGGAGCGTAGGCATAAAGTCGTCGACAGTGGAAAACAAACTCTCACACTCTTCCTTCTGCGTTTTCTTCTGCAACATTCCAATCCAATCCGTAACGACAAAACCGTGCGTTTCTCTGTTCAATCGCAATTCCTCGCCACTACCTCCGCCGCTCACCGGTCAGTTCCATGGCCATCTCCGCCCGCCAAAACCCGAGCTCCGACGCGCGGCTGTTCAAGCTCTGTCCCTTCTGGAGTTCGCGGAACGGATTGTTGTCTTCCAACCATTCCGAAGCGAACGTTCAAAGGTCCTCCAAAACGGTGTCGTCCGTCGCCAGGTCGCTGCTTCCTCCGCGCCGGAGGCTCCGTCTCGATCCTTCCAGTTACCTCTACTTTCCATGTAAAGTCATTCCACTTCCGATTTTGGTTTCGGTTTCTTTGTTTATTTCTCAATTGGTTTACTGTTGTGCTGAAATTTCGTTTGTTTTGAAGATGAACCGGGGAAGCAGGTGAGGAGCGCGGTTCTGTTGAAAAACACGAGCAAGTCTCACGTTGCTTTCAAGGTGCGTACGTACGTGTGGTGTAGTTTGAATGTAAAATAAAATTGTTTATCATTCATTGCATGCACACCGTTTGGTTGAAACGTGTTACTAAATTTGACAGGCGTTTTTAACGCTTCCGTTTGTGATGTGTAATGGAAAAAAAAAAAAATGTATCTTCTCGTTGTCGTAGTTGACTTTTGTGATGGATTTACTTTTGTTGGTTCAGTTTCAAACTACGGCGCCAAAAAGTTGTTACATGCGGCCTCCTGGTGGGATTCTTGCTCCCGGGGAAAGTTTGATTGCAACTGGTAATTTTTTAATGTGGAAATTGCTTTTCGATTCACGTTGTTAGTTATTTTTGGCCTTATGTTAATGTTTCTTTCCTAATTTGGTGCTCACTCAGTGTTTAAGTTTGTGGAGCAACCTGAGAACAATGAGAAGTTGTCGGATCAGAAGCACAGGGTGAAGTTCAAAATCATGAGTCTCAAAGTGAAAGAAGGGGTGGACTACGTACCTGAGCTGGTATGTTTGGTACCTTCTGATGTTGTATTGAATCTCCTATTGATGAGAGACCATAGTGGGGAGAGGAGAGAGTGTTGCTTCCTAAATTGTACTTTCTGATTATTCTGTTGGGTGAATTAGATGTGAAATTTACTTGGTAAGGAAAAAGTCTCCTTTAATTTTCTGACATATCTCAACAGCCTCTCCCTTCGGGTTGCCTCCTAACTTGTACTTTCTGATTATTCTGTTTGGTGAATTAGATGTGAAATTAACTACGTAAGGAAAACCTCTACTTTAATTGTCTGACATACCTCACTACAGTGGGTTAACGTGTTTGCTAGAGACAACACGTTAACACGAATCCATTTATTGTTTTCAGTATCTGTCTGGAGGTGGAGTGTAGGAGCTGACCTTGCTAAGAAGGGAATTAAATTCACAGAGCAGAAAATTATTAACTAGGTTTATATTATTTACAGCATAAAAGAATTCAGGTAGATATACTTGCCCAAAACTCAAACTATGTTCTCTCCTTAAAGCCATACGGGGAGAATGGATTGGTTGTTTGCGGTAATAATCGATACAGGACTTGAGTTACATGGTAATACCGGCATGCTTCTCAGAATTGGGCAAATTGAAAGCCACACAGGATGTTTGGGAAATTTAGAGAAGTCATAGTGCACAGGCATTTCAAGACTCCGGTTAATGGAATATCCTTTAAATAGTAGACAAAACATACGATCAAACGGAAGAGTTTAGATCAAAAGATACGTGTAGATGTGTTTCCTATTCTCAACTGCTTTGTCTTTGGAGTAAATCGGATGTTGTATTGGATGAATTGAACTATCATTACTTAGTTTATCATGAATGATCATATTAATTATCATTTTGGGGTGAAGGGAATCTAAAAGTGAAATGTAGACTCACATAATAAGAGGAGAAGAAATGACGAGACTTCACATAAATTCCAGAGTCGAGTAAATATGCAGGCAAGAAAACCGAACTTGAACTTCTGAATAGGATTTTAGTTTTAGAAAGTGGATCAAGTCTAATTAAACCTCATGAAACTAGTTTGGAAGGTGATGTTTGTAAATATCTTATATATTATTATTTAGTCATATTTCTAGTTATTATGAATCTTCAACATTTATCTCTTCATAGATATTTGTTTATAGGATAATTTCGTTGTAATATGAACTTATGTTTTATTGATTACAATCTGTTTCATTTATTCATGCTTTTGGCAAATGATTTCAAGGTTACTTGTTAATGATAAAATAAATAAATAACTTTGGCCTTTGGGCTTCTGTGACGCAGTTTGATGAACAAAAGGATCTAGTGGCAGTGGAACGAATATTGAGGGTTGTGTTTATAGATCCAGAACGGCAAACTCCGGTAAGTCTAACTTTTCTGCAAATTGTCCTAGCACAGGCATACTGGATTAATGTGCAAAAATAAGTCTGGCGATTTTAGGCTTTGGAAAAACTGAAAAGACAGTTGGCTGAAGCTGATGCTGCAGTTGAAGCTCGGAAGAAGCCTCCTGCGGAGGTAGGTCCTCGTGTTGTTGCTGAAGGGCTTGTGATTGATGAATGGGTAAGCAAAATGCTGAGAATGAATTATTCATTTAAGTTTTATTTTAATGTATTTTTTATTATTTACATCTTAAATTGCTTCCTAATGTTTATAGAAAGAGAGAAGGGAAAAGTATCTGGCCCGGCAACAAGTTCAAGCAGTAGATTCGGTGTAAACGCAATTTGTTCATCCAGCTAATTGTTTTCTTAAGGGAAACACGATCAAGATATCATTGGATGCGCTTCAAAAGAACTCTGTTGGGGGGAATTGGTTGGCATCCTATTGGTAGTTTGAGAACGCAATCTGGTGGAAAGATTCGTTGTATAACTGTCAAAATTCTTGTTCTTTGGAGGATCAGTCCGATTTGTACATAGTAGAGTTTGCTTGTTTGTATAATAAATGCAATTCCTCACTGCCATATGCTTGTGCAATAATCTTGAAATAACACATCATTCATAATAAAAATCTTATTTTTTGTGCATCTGTCATGATTAAACAGACATCATCGTCCAATAGTTTGGTGAAAATAGATCATCATTGAACGATACTATCCTTGGTCAAGGTTTACATCATATCTTTGTTCCACCATAGTTTAATTTTTCTAAACTCATGCTACGTATTGAGAGTATGTTAGCAACCTGCAATGGGTATGTGTTACAGAAAACAACGACCCTGTAGTCACTGCAACATGTAAAAATACATGAAGTCGATGGCATCTTTTGTGGGTTTGAAAATGCGTCTTTGGGAACTTTAATTAAGTTGTGTTGTACCATGTGGAACAAACTATATGCTATATTTCAGACACAATTAATTTCAATCTTTTTTACAAATGATATCCTAAAATAGAACACATGATGTACATAATATATAAGCCTAACAATGGAACCGGAACAAGATAGTAAGCAGAAAATTACATAAATAATTATTACAGAGTGTCATATATCATCTGGCAGTAGAAAACTCTGTGAACCAAAAATTTGGTGTGATTTGGTTTGAACAAAGACTGCCAGGCCACACCTGGTGCTGTTGAATGTATTCCACAAGGAAAAACAAACCATTCCTGATACTTTCTTCCTAGCAGGGTGGTCTGCCACAGTGCAGAGCTTTTCAAGTTTTCTAACAACATAGTCATTATACAGAACACGCCCTTTGTTTTCCCCTCTAGGACAGTCCGTAACCAAACCACTTTCGTATAATGCTACCATGACATCTGCTCCATGATTGTCCACATTCGTCATCAATGCTCCATTTAGGCTGACTTCCAGAAAAGATGATGTAGGCCTACTGAAAGTTGCCTGCTAGCAAACAATGTTTCATTCAAAAACACAGTAAAAAAAAGTAACTTTTTTTCACATTGGAAACATTGTAAATTGTTGCATTGTTCATTCCCTTGGAAGTTGGAACTTATTTAATTACCTCGTCAGCAAGTGATTTCATGTGAGAAAAAGTTAAATTTTCTTTAATAGAACTTTGAAGAAAATCTTTCAAACTAATCAGTAACGTGGCTGGTTTCAAAAAAAGGGATGACTTTGATTCAACTTGTTTTTGATGATGAAAAGAACAGAACAACTTCCTAAACCGATGAAACCTCTTTTTGGCATTAATTTATTAGGTGGGGCAGGGGTCTCCCACTTGTTGTGTGATTGAAAATCCTGCATGTCAACATCTGTTTTGAATTTACCACTACTTTCTTTCAGGTTTACCTTATGCCAAAGTCGTATACATGATGTAATCAATCTTTTGGCACCTAAATTCCGAGCTTAGCCAAAACAACGTCAATAAACAAGAAAAGCAGATAAAAAGCCGAAAGGAAAACGCCGCAAAAGTAGCTAGTAAAGGATTTCTCAATTATCTTCTTCCTTTTCTTTTCCCCTATTTTTCTTTAAACTTTGAGTCGCATTTTCTTCCCAAAAATTCACTACTCACGCCCATAACATATTATGTGTTTCGTTTTATGTTTGGTTGGTCACATTCTCCAGCTTAAATAAATTATACCAATAAATTCTACAGCACACTTTTTTATTAATTAAGTTTTATTACCAAGTATAATATTAAGTAGGCAATCATTAAATAAAAAAATCCCATTAAAATTTGTAATTTTAATAAATTTTAATCAATGACGCAGAATATTTTAAAAAATATACTAAAGTATGTCAATGATATTTCAATCTATTGAAAAGAATGAGCTGGAAAGAGAGTCACTTTGCAAACATTATATCATATCCTTTTTTATAAGTAAAAGATGATAATTCAGAAGGGTTCCAACAATACTTTCCAAAACAGGCTTTCTGGTAGAATAGTAGTATGCTTTCTTCTTTGACAAAGCAATCATCCAAACAAATAGTAGATAATGGACTAAAGCATTCACAACCTAGTAAAGCAAATTGTCCTCCCACATCCTAACACTATTATCATTATCATTATCATTATTAGTATCATTATTATTATTAATTTATTATTATTATTATTATTATTATTATTGTTGTTGGTGCTGCTGCTGCTATTGTGTTAAAAAGGGTATTTTTGAATTAGACTCTAGAATTAATCAAACTCAAAGATAACTGATTTTGGAAGACTTAACACTAAAATTTTATTGGAATTTTATAATGAATTCTTTTGGGTAAGATTGCAATAATGTTTTAAGTGGGTTTAAGCTTATTTTTATTTAAATGATAAGGCAAATTTATATTTAGAAGTGTGCTTCCAAAATATTGGTGAGCATTACAACCATAAGAAAACTAGTTCCTTATCCACATAAAATTTTTCAATGTTTATAAATTTCACTATAATTTATTTTTTTCTTCTTGAAATTAGCTAAATATACTCAATTATTGACCCAAAACTAGTTGCTTAGTTGTTTTCAAAGCTTTATCCAAGGAAAAAAAGCAGCGGCAAAATCTGTAAAGTCAACTTCTAAGCTAATTTTTGAGAGGTAATATTTCGAATTTGGATTCTATGCAGAATTATTTTTGGTATTGTTTATGTTGAACCATTGATAGATATTGATTTTAATGTTTTAAAATATATTAAAAACTTTTTAAATATACCAACATCAATGTAGTTTGAAAGCTTAATAAAAAGATACTACAAAAAAGCAGAGAATCTGTACTCTAATACAGTGTCATGAAATGGTAAAATTAGAAATTTTTGTATTTTATATGTAAAATTAGAATCTGTATTCATTTAATTCTCTGTTTTTATTTTTTGTTTTGGTAGAAATGTTTAGCCGAACATAAATTTTATGAAATTGTAATTGAAAATTCGCGATGTTTGTAAATTATAAGTTGAAGGAAAAATAAATAAAAAATGGAAAAGCATAAAAGCAAGGGATGGAGATGGTAAATAACCTGGAAGGTGGGAGCAGAGAACCTAGGCGCAGAAGTGATGGCAGAGACGAGGGCGATGTCGTCATTTCCAGAGAGTTGGGCCTGACCCTGGACCACAATCTGTGGGGTGTACAACGTGTCAAGCCCAAGGGCCTCAACATAGGCCTTCTGCCTAACGGTCCATTGGCTCGAGCCAAAGGGGTCCTTCCAGCCCACGTAGTCCCAGTAGTCCACGTGGAAGGCCAGCAGCACCACCGGCACTGGCAGCTGGAAGTCACCCCTCCCCAGCCGCGACAGCACCACGTCCGCCGCCGGGGACGTCGCGCATCCCTGCGACGTGAACATCTCCACCAGCACTGGTCCATCAACAGCCGTCAACGCCTCCTCCTCCTCCTCCGCTAAGCTACCGTCGACGTCACGGCATCCGGCTGCGTGCTTGTGGCGGAAGCAGGACCAGAGACGAGGCGCCATCGGTGTTGAGTGGTGGCGGTGGAGCTATGAATGATTAGAATGAGAATGAGAATTAGAATTGTGAGATAATTGAAAAAGAAAGAAAGAAAGAAAGAAAGAAAGAAATAACGAAGGACGGAGAAAGAAAGGTGGCGAAATGTTTGTTGGGACGACAGGGTGATTTTGTAAGACTTTATTTGTCATTCCATACGTTTAAAAGAAATAAGACCTAATAAAAGTTTGTAAGTTAAAAATAATCAAATTAAACATTGAAGTTTTTGCATGTGATGTTACGTGCATGTGAAATGAAAGTTACAAATAGAAACAGTTGTGTTAGGACAGCTAGCATCTCCAACACAGTGCATGTAACGAAAGCTTTGAAGCCATAAAACAAGGTACAAGTTTTTTGCATTTAACTCTCATATATCCTTACATTTGCATTTCAACGGAATCTAAGCATATCACACATTTTTTTTATTAGTTTCATTGTTTTTTCTTTAGTTTAAAATGAAGCCAAATTGCAATATAAACACCCGTATACTTTTTTTTATTCCCATCTTGAATATAGAGTTGAGATAAACAAAATACCACTTCACTTAATCAAGTCTATAATATAGAGAAATACGTATTTGATGTGAAATACAGACTTAGTAACTTTGTAGGAATGTTTAGTGGATGTGTTTTACCATGAAAAACCTCATATTTTTAGTGCTTTTAGTATCTGTTGTAGTTATTTTTGTTGAGTTTTACTATTTTTTGTCTTAATTTTGTTCAGAATTTATAAAAGACGTTTATTATTGTATTGTATTGTATGTGGTCGAGGACTTATCAATTCTATCAACTACAATCTTTAACTGAGTTATCTAAAACAATGAGATAATATTGTTTACTGGATATATATAGTGTCAGATAAATCTATAGTCCATATAACTGTCAGAATGACCATTAAGTACTATATGAAGGATGACTCACCTAGCCGGATATCGAGGATTGTAATACTACATGTTAGGTTCAATGATTATTAGCAGGTATCAAATACCGAATACCAGGTACTATGTTTCTCACACCAAAGCATGCATATATTATTTAATAACAGAGCTGGTCACTAAGCCAGGATACCGCCTACCGGTACCTCATTATGTCTGCTAAAGACATTCTCGCATTGAATAACTTAGCCAAAAAAAACAGGTGCACTTGCTCACAAGTAAGCTAGCTATTAGACTAATGGGCCTATGATTCTGGCCCATTCAGATGGATCCCCATGGTCAACAAAGAATGCCTATAAATATTATTTTAATCATACTTTGACTTCACTTTTTGCATTAATCCAAATTTGACTAGAATCTCTTACTAAGTATTAACTTAAGCGTTGAAACATCTTCTACAAGCACCCCACCATTCGGTAGAGGACAAATGAGGCTTGGAGTACCGGATAATGAAGAGTTTGTTGAGTGAAAGGAGACTTTGTTGGGTATATTCCATTCCACAAGAACAATTATTTATTTATATATATATATATATATATATATATATATATATATTTACATTATAATAAACTCAACTTTTTTTAACAATAAATAATGAATGAATAAAGAGATCATTTGAGTTCTTTAACTTTTTACAAACTTAAAAATATTTTGAATTACACATATCAAGCTCATTTAATTTAATACATAAAACAGAAAAAAATATGTTAATTACACTACTCTTACTTACATTCCTTGTATTATATATAAAAAAATATGTTTGTAGTTGCACTTGCGTTCCTTTACCTTTGTTGTGTATGTTTGAAGTTCATTTCTCTTGTTTTCCTGCTTTGTTTATACTATGTTCTTGCATATTAGTCATTAACAAAAGTCTTTTAAAATATCACACTAGTGTTTCTTTTCTCGATTATTACTACACCATGTTTCCCTTGTGTTTCTCTCCAGACTCTACATACTATTTGCATTTTTTTGACATATATCAGTAGTGCAACAAAGGACTTTGACACTAATTTATTTGTCATGATACTCATATACTACAATTGAAACATATCCAAGAAAATTAAAAAATGAGAGTTTAAGCTTTGGTTCGTAACTGAAACCTATACTTCAACAATAGTCTTCGATTAGTAAGACAACTAAAACATAAATCGATTAAAAAGAAAAAAAATAAAAGCAATAGGTTTCAGTAATGCCACCGAGAACGAGATTGAGAACGAGAGAGACTAAAACCAACTACTTAAATGGAAACCAACAACTAAGACAACAACAATGTTGTGGTGACCCAAATGCAACAAACCAAGACCAATACAAACTTGCAATGTTGCGACGTCCCAACGCGGAAAAATGACAATGGCCATAAAAATACAACCGAGAACGAGAGAGACTAAGACCAACTGTTCAAACACAAACCAATAACTAAGACAACAACAATGTTGTGGTGTCCCAAATGCAACAAACTAAGACCAAACAAACCTACAATGTTGCGACTCCCCAACGCGAAAAAATGACAATGACCACAAAAATGACAATGGCAAAAGACTTTGACACCAAATTATTTGTCATTAAATTTTAGTTCTACAATCGAAACATATCAAGGCGAAGTAAAAATGAAAATTTAAGCTTTGGATCATAACCGAAACCTATACTTCAACAATAGTCTTTGGTTTGTAAGACAGCTAAAACATAAAACGATTAAAAATAAAAAAATAAAAGGATTAGGTTTATGTAATGCAATCAAGAACGAGAACGAGAGAGATTAAGAACAACTGCTTAAAAGCAAACCAACAACTAAGACAACAATAATGTTGTGGTGTCCCAAATGCAACAAACCAAGACCAACACGAACCTGAAATGTTGCAACGCCCCAATGTGAAAAAGTGGCAATGACCACCATGATGAAGCGACAACACCAAAATGAGAATAAAAACAACGTTTTGGGAAGGAAGAGAAAAACAAGAAATGGACAAGAAATGAGAAGGAAGGTAAACAATAATGAAGACAGAAGCATTCCTCAACAAAGATTATAATGGAAGAAAAAGCAAAATTACAGCAATGGAGAAGAAGAATGAAGCGACCCTATGAAACAAGACCTTTTACGAGTTGGAAAAATTCCCAAATTTATGATATACAAATTGGTGCAGGCTTTGGTTTTAAGTTAAACCGTGTTGACAAAAAAAGAAGATGAAAATCTTGATTCAATATAAGAGTTTTAATGATGATGACTCATGGAGAAGTGTTAAAGATTTAAAGAATGATTGGATTCAAGAGATACCTTGAAGACTTAAGATTTTAGTTTTTGAAGTCTTGTAATTATTTTATTTAAATTAGTAGATCAAGAGTAAATAGTCAAAACTCAAGCAACAGAGCACTCAAGGAAAATTTTATTTTTCATAAAAACCTCTATGATAACCTATTATCACTAATGATAATTGAGTATCCAATTAAAAATAAATTTTTGAGAAGTATCATTGTGATAATCGATTACCACCTTCTGTTAATCGATTATCATAGTGAGAAAATATTTTTTGAAATAGTTTCTGGAATGATCGATTACTACTTATGATAATCGATTACCAGTAGCAGTTGCGAATAAACTCTTCAATTTTGACCCAATTGTTAAAATAAGACTCTATATATATTTTAACTAAACCTAATTTCAAATGAACTTTTTCACTCAGAGATTTAGAGTTGTGACTGCTACAGAAACTCTTTTTATTTGTGAAAAGGGGCTTGGAAAACTTAGTGTGGGTAGAGCGAGAACTTTCACTATAAGTGTATCTTAAGTGATTGAGTGCTACAGTTGTTGCAAGGAAAGTGGTTGATCCTATATGTGTCAAAGGAAGTGTTGTTCATCCTTTGTGGCAAAGAATGTCTTATTCATCTCTTGTGTAACTTTCTCTTTTCCTACACTCTTTATCTTTATTATTTTTATTTATAAAGAATCAATTTTTATTTATTATAAAATCATTTTATAAAAAAGAAAATTTTTAAAAGACATTGTTTTTACTAAGCAAACTAATTCACCCCCTCTTGGTTTTTATCCGCAAGTGAACATTTCAAAAACACGATGACATTTTTAAAATTATTGGCACAATTATAGGCTTCGGTTCTAAAATAAACGAAGCCTATACTTATAAGGTAAAGGTACAAGCTTCAGTTATCTTAGAACCAAAGTTTAAAGCCTATACTTAAAAAATGTCACAATGTTTTGAAAGAATTTTTTTTCTTGAAACTTAAGCATATTAGGCAAAGCTAAATATTTTATTTGAACTAATGTATTAGTAACTAACACAACTCTTTCTAAAGTATCACCCTAATATTTCTTTTCTCGGTTGTTCCTACAACATGTTTCCGTTGCGTTTCTCTCTACACTGTATGTATTATTTGCATTTACTGTTACCTCTTTTGAATTTATGGGCAGAAAAACACATTCAGAATTTCACCGCCTATTCATCATGCGTTCTCTCTTAACAATCTACTTCACATAAAAATTCAAGTTTCATGTTTAGTAAAAAGGAATTTCAGTATCTTATCCCCCCCTTTTGGATCCTTCCATACCATTAACATATGAATTTTATGTCCTAGATTGGACTTATGCATCATTTTGAATATGAAAGTTTTTAATTTTGTAATTTTGTATGTTATCCATGTCCAAGCATTTACTTTGGTTAAATAGCAAATCTCATTTGTATTTACATTGTCTAACCTAAAAATGATGTTTTTACGCTCCCATATTTTCCAAACCATGCCTACCTAAACACATCTCCAAATCATGTTTTCTTTGTTTTTTTGTTGTAATCCAAACTGGTGAGAAATATTGTATAAGTAGGCAGTCTTTATTGTTCTAATTACAACTGACTTAATACATATATCACACAATTTCCTTATCACTCTACATTCGAAGAATATATTACATTATCTTGTGACTCATTCAACTCATAAAACAAAGTAATGCGAAATGACTACGGAGAAAAAGGACGAAAATCCTTACCCTAAGTAAAAATTGTGTGTAGCGGAAACGATTCTTAATCATGGTGAAACAAATACTGCTAACCTTA